CAGTTTAAACAACAATTTAAGTAACAGCATGTGGCCTTGGAGTATGAAGCCTCAGGTTTCAGGTATAAAAGCTCATCATTAGATGATGGCTGAATTCCAATTTCTGCCCAAAATGTTCATTTAAAAGGTTATGTTTTGTTTTCATCATTGGTCTGCCAACAATACAATCCAGTGTGTAATCAAACAGAACAGAGAGCAAATGCCAATGTCAAGTCAGTTTATCAAAGTTTTTAAATGAGTGCCCATAAAATAGCCAATAAAGTGAGATAGTAAAATTGATAATATCAGGTGTGGTAAACATAGAGTAAATATTTAATTAAAAATAATTACAGCAAAAACAAGTTGCCATTATTCCCGCTCAAAATTCCCTCCCCATTTTGCTTTTAACATACTCATCCTGTATTTCCTGACACTTTCTGAAGCAGTTCTGGAAGTCCTCTTTTGTAAGTGTCTTTAGTTGTGCTGTTATGGCTGCTCCTATACCCTTAATTGATTCATAACATTTCCCTCTCTTGGTCATTTTGACTTTGGAGAGGAGCCAGAAGTCATACGATACCAGATTCAATGAAGAAGGTAAATGAGGACACACTGTAATGCTTTTATGAGCCAGCATTTCCCATGGATGGAACTCAGCAGCAGCATTCATTATAATTTTGATCATACCTTGTAAAGACACTCACAAAGGAGGGCTTCCAGAACTGCTTCAGAAAGTAATATGAATGACGGGATGAGTGTGCTTGAAGTAAGGAGAAGTATTTTGTGAGGGATTAATGGCAATGTGTCTTTTACTATAATACATTTGTTAATTTAAATATTTACTATATTATAAAATTGAACCATGTATCTCTGTATCTTTGTGTATTGGCTTCAGAATTAGATGACATAAATATGTAAACTGTTAACTACAGCGTGGCACATGAGGAAGACTGAGGAAATGAGTATAATCATTTTGCTCTTATCAGAACTTTGCTATGTGAAGCAAAGTTCTGATGAAGACTTTGCTCTGTGAAGCAAAGTCTTTCTTAAAGAGTAGGGCTCCTTCCGAATGGACACTGGATGTTCATCTTAGGATAGTTAATACAGTTTTCCAGTTAGTTATATCATCTAGGTTTTTTAATTTGCTAACAAAAGAAAATGTGGACAGTCAAAGAAATCTGCCGACCCGTGGATGGTAAATTTTGATTATTTCTGAAGATGACTACATATTTTTATAATTACCATATCACTTTTTAGGTTAAAAGAATATAAAGGCTACAGAATTACAAGGGAGATGGGGCTTCTCTTTTGATAGCTGAAAGGGTCACATTCCCTGGTGACCTTGTTAAATAGACTGTAAAGAATTTGTAGTAATACATCAAGGACAGGGTCCTGTGCCTAAATTCATTCAGTCGCCAGCCCATGGCTGGTCAGATCATATCCTGACTCTTCCTTTGTTCAGTAAGATTAAACCTGACCTGTTAAGCATAGTTGAAGGCTGTTGCATTATATACAAGTCAAAAGGCTGCCTTATATTTTGAAATAATACTTTGTAATAAGTGGTGTAACTTTTTCTTTTAAATTCACAGAATAGAATATTTTTGTTTCACTTTCTCAGATTTCTTTTGTATTATTATTTTAACACCCTACATTTCCCTTGTGTTGGTAAAGTCATGCACATGTGATCTTTGCACAATTTTAAACAGTAATAAAAAGCAACATATCAAGATAATTAGTTGTATTTTGGTGGTTTGCATCATATATTTGGCCTAAAGTATTACATTACATAAAGGGGAGAAGAAAGGGCTCTTGACATATGTACAATATTTAACTTACATTTTGTACTATTTTTTTTTTAATTTTGTGCTGTTTTTGTCATGAAGTCATATATCTTTCTCTGAAATACATCTCTAATGTTTTCTAAATACTCAGGACCTCGCACTTGCCAGGCAGGCGCTGTGCCACTGAGCTAAATCCCCAGCCCTGGGACTACTGTTCAATAGCCATAATTTAAATCCAGGTCTCTCTGAACCTGGAAAATGCAACAGAAACAAGTCTGGATTGGTCCCAACCTAAAGGCACCCTCCGACCTCCATACAATCCATGAGATTTTCCTTGAGCACTTGCAGTGTGTATTTTTTTTTCCACATATACACATCAGGCCACTGACTTGTCACTAATTTCTCATTTGTCTTTCCTCTTTGCCTAAAACTGTGACCTACTCTGGTATCACTGCAGTTGTTCCCATTTTGTAAATAGAGTAGATGGTCTGCCTACCTTTGTGAATGTGTGTCACTGACATGTGTCTGATTTCTTTGGGAGAGGGGAGCGAGGTTACCGTGACCCTCAGACATGGTAGGACAGGTAATACCGCTCATTCAGTGTGTACAGTTTTCTGACACCTGGCTCATCCTGCAGACAGCATGAGTTGGAGCTCCTCAGAATCACCTTGTGGGACATCTTGAGGTACCCTGGTGTATTTCTGAGGCAGGAGGAGGGTTATGTGTCATTCTCAGTCTCGAGCTTTTCCACCACAGCACAGCACAACTGCCCCATGCAAGGAAGCCACACAGTGTGGGCAAAGGACCCAGGACCAGAAGCCATACTTCACAGCTACTTGGAGTCCCAGCTACTTGGTCTGCCCTGAGCTAACTATATCACATGCTGTTTAAAAATGCCATATGAAATATTTACATCTTTATGGAATCACACATGATGCTTTGATGCTTGTTACACTGTGAATGCTTGAATTAGGGTGAGCATTCTTTCTCTTCAAACACTCATATCTTCATCATGAAAACAGTCAGAAATCTTAGTCTTAGTTTTTCAATGGATACAGCACCTTATTGTTATCTATGACATATTCCCATGTTGCCTATGTTTATCTGGTTTAGAAGAATGTGTTCAAATAATTTCAGATTCCTATGCAAAGTATAGGAATATACATCTTCAAAAATGAATAATAGTAATCAGATGTATAGAGTTCACTATGCAATAGGACCAGTTCAAGGATGTGTTACTTCCTTTAATTCTCATATGAGTCTCATTCAATGATCTCTCTTCTATAGAAGGGGAAACTGAGGTAGCAAGGGTTAAATAACTTTGTGATAGCTCTTACAGCCGATGAGCAAGAGGACTGGAATCTAAACCCAAGCTGCCTGGCTTTAGGAACCCTGTGCTTACCTTCTACACCATTTGCTTCTCTAATGGAAATAGGTTACTCTTCAGGAAAATCTCCTTCCACACTCAGCTCAGAGCTGGTGAAACGATTGGCCTTGTTATCTCCTTGTATTCCCTGTCCTGGATTGTGTGCTTTTCTTTAATTACAAGGCTTTAGGCCAACCTGCTGCATAACTTTCCTTCTTGGGAAGACTTTTATACACCAACCTCCTGCAGACCAAGAGGGCTTCTGTGACTTGAGACCATGTGTGTGGATGAAATAAATACCAGACCAGGTGGCATGTCAGGTGTTCCATGGGAAAAGGTGCCAAGGTTTATCCAATTCTAAATGAAGATACTCATGTCTCAACAGTCATTTTAGAGCTAAAGGACTCCTTACACTCTCATCTAGGAGAAGAACAGAATTATTATTATTATTATTATTTTTTTTTTTTTGGTTTTTCTCCGGTACCAGGAACCGAACTCA